CCCACACTCCATTCCCCTCCTCCACCCCAGCAAGGAGCAGAGCCCGAAATGGTGGGAGAAAGCCAGAGGAGGCGTGGCCACCACTAGGGGCCCACACAGCCGGGGCTCTGTCTGCATCTAGACACTGAGCTGGCAGATGGTCCCCAGATGTGCAGACCCTTTCCTGGCTGCCAAGCTGAGCCAGGGCAGCCCCTGCAGGGGTGGGTGGACACCACCCAGAACCCCGGACCCAGTGCCCACCCCCACCTCCAGGGCCAGCTCTCAGTCCAGGCAGCACCAGCATTTCTACAATCACTTATTAAGCTCCTGCTATGTGCCAGGCATTTTGCCAGAATAGGACATAGATGGACAATACTGGGTACCGACCCCCAAAACACAATCCTTCCCTATTGATTGTACAACCCAGCCCAGCAGGAGAAATGCCTTCTCACCTCTCCAGGCAGCTCCTACCCACCTTCAGAGTGTTCTTAAAGCTCTCTGAAGTGGAGGAACCCAGTTATGGGTAGAATTGTGTCCCCCACAAAACATATTGAAGCCCCCGATCCTGGCACCTGTCAGTATGAATGTATAGAGTCTTTGCAGGTGTAAACAAGTTAAGATGAGGTTGTTGGGCCTCCCCTGGTGGCACAGGCGGTTGAGCGCCATGCTGTGAAGCTGTCCACAGCCTCTGCAGTGCCAGCTAGATCCCAGCTCCCGGCGAGGGTCCCACATGGCGCGGCAGACCTCTCCTGTCTCGCCCGCTGCTCCCCTCGGCAGTGTACTTTGACAGTCTGCCTGTTTTGTTCCCCGCTCTGTCTCTGTTGAATCCTCTCATCCTTCCGTCCATCTGGCCTATACCCCGGTTCTGGTATTAAATAAATAAATAAATATTTTTAAAAAGAGAGATGAGGTCGTTACGATGGGCCCTGAGTCTAAATGTCTGCTGTCCTTAAACAGGCCCAGGGAAGGTGGCCTTGAAGAGCAAGTGGAGGCTGGTTGTGAGTTGTCACAAATCAAGGACATTTTGGGCCACTGGAAGCTAGAAGACACAAGGAAGGACCCCCCCCACACACAAGGCTTCAGAAGGAGCATGGCCTTGCCATGCAGGCTCAGCCACCAGAGGACCAGGACGTAGAAAAGGAGCTGAGGAAATGCATCTTGGAACAGGAAACTCAAGGGGTCCAGGGTTGCCAGCCTCAGATCCATGCCCACTTCCCTCTCCTAGCCTCTGCGGCTCTCCCCATATGTGTCCCATATGTGTCCCTCCTGAGGACAGCTCTGCCTTCCACCAGGTCCAGTGTTCTGAGTGGCAGGACCCTCCCCCTACTGCCCATCAGGGCCTGGGGCTGGGATTTGAGGGGCCAGAATAACCTCACTGCCCTCAAACAATCTTCCGAGGGCAGGGACAGAGGGGAAACAAGGGCTCGTAAGCTACTTCCAGTCCTTTGCAAGCATGTGGATCCTCTTTGATCCATGACAGTGTCCCCTGTCTGCACAGCAGGCTCACACGTCCTCATCAGTCTTTGCCTCCCCTTGGCGCGTAGCCAAGCAGCTTTTCAGTCAAGCCCTTCAGCCAATGAGGAGTTCGCGGCGTGGCACGCACTTGGCAGTCCCAATCACTCACGCCTTGTTTATTCTCACCGATGCTCGCGCTTATCATATTGTGTGTTTCAACCACTCTGCGAATGTCATCTGTCCAGAAAGAGGAAGCGGTTGTTTATTTCTTACTGTGCCGGGAGAGAGAGCTCAGTTACAGATTGTTAACGATATGTTGAAAGGAGAGGACAGGTAACTCAGACACAGAGAGTGGAGCGTGTGCGTGACTGACCTTGGGCCCCACCTGTCACGGACAGCGGGAGGACATGGCAGCCTTGGCACTGGGTGGAAGTGGAGGCTGGGGGGAGAGAGGGGGAGGGGAATGGCTTTGTTGATCTGCAAGCCCATTGTTTCACCTAGATTATACGTTTTTGGGGGTGCTTGGGAGCGGCTGGTGGGGGTTATGCTAGGCAAGTCCCTGTCCCCTGGTCTCCTAAGGCACCATTTCTGATGGTGCCTGGTAGCCGCAGAGACCGGGCCCTCTGCTGCCTGGCGCTGGGTTCTCTGTCCAGGGTCCTGAAGTGCAGCCCACTGGGGGTTACGCAGACCCCACACTCCGGGGGTTACACAGACACCCAAGGCTTTCAGTTACCTGGAGCTGGGGGGGTCTTTGCTTCAGGTTTCATCTGAGCAGTGTGTGGAAGAGCAGCTTCTTCCATGGAAAAATTAGGGACACTCGGGAAGAGTCTTTTCTTCATTAAGTTTGTCTTTGTTCCAAAGAGTGAATAGCGTCAGTCTTTGCTCAAAGAACTGCCTTAATTTTTTTTTAAAAAGATTTATTTATTTATGCATACAAGAATTGGGGTACAGGCCAGAGGTGTGGGGGGTGAGAGGATTCATCAGATAGAGTGGGGAGCAGAACAGGCAGATTGCTGAAATACACTGCTGAGGGGAGCAGCGGGCGAGACAGACGAGGTCTGCTGCGCCATGTGGGTAGCTCCCTGGTCAGGGATCGAACTCGTGCTGCAGAGGCTGCAGACAGCTTCATAGTGCTGAGCTCAACCCCTTGCACCACCAGGGAGGCCCTGAACTGCCTTAAATTTAATTGTCAGGAACACAGGACTTTAGCAAGCTCAGGCTTCACATGTGATCTCTTGTTTGGTTCCCACAAAGCATGTGTTTCCAAAGAGGGCAACTGCAGTCAGATTGGCTTTGCAGACAAGAGTGGCCAAGAGGTCAGGAGACTCCCGTCCCAGGCTCTGCCCAGCAGGGCTTTCTCTCCAGCCGGCCAGCCTTCACGTGGGCCAGCTTTGGCAACAGCTTGTACTCCACTCCTCTCTGGTCTGCAGGACTGCTCCGAGGACAGACCCCAGGCTGTGGGGACAGTGCCGGTGGCCGGTCACAGCCACAGGGACCGTGAACTGGATGAGCACGTCCTTGTCCGACTCCATCAGGGGGGCAGGGAGCCTCTAGGAAGTGTCTCCTCCGCCCCACTCCTGGCCAAATCTGGTGTGACTCATTTGCTCTAGAAAAGGAATATAAATAAGCACCATTGCACCTTGACAAGTTGACAGGATTGACAAGCAGAGTAAATTCCCGTATCTGAGACTCTGAGGAGGAGAGGTGATTTAGCAGAACCAGCTGCCATCACCAGAAGAAAATAATTAAGGAAGCCCGGCAGTGTGGAGGGAAATTGAGGGTGCAGCGGGCCCCTTCCGCTGAAGGGACCTGTGATCACTGACTGCAGGGAAAACCCACCTGAGCCAGGGAGAAATGAGCTCTGGATGCTCATGCCAGGGGCGGGCGCCGTAAGGATGGTGTGGGGAAGAGCAGAGGGTGGCTGGCAGGAGGGAAGTTGGCTCTGGGGCTGAGAGGGGTACCCAGACGAGGGCTCAGGGCCCCCACTGCTCACAGCCATGCAATATGTTCTACGCAAAATCTCCCTTCAGCCTCCATGGGAGGCCTGTTTCAAAGCTTCCCCCCAGCATGGCCTCACATGTGGACACAGGCTTGGGAGTGACTGGAATGGTGTGGACACGCTGCTTTTTTGTCCAAGCAGGCCACACTCTGTCCCCAGCCCAAAGGGGTCAAATAACAGTATCGCTCAGAAGAAAGACACCGTGATCCGCCTTCATTTCCACTTCTCATTGGACTCAAGGGAGAACTGAGAAGGGTCAAGGAATTGAAATTTCCCAGGCCAGGGGTGACCTCACGCCCCCTAATGCTTGCAGATGAATGAAGGAGATATGTGAGCCCGTCTCAGGGGGATCCTGAAGCCAGAGTCATAGCAGTGGCTGAAGTTGTAAAATGACTTCAAGGGGAAGCTGGAGGAGCCCCTGGGTTGGGGACAGAGGACCCGGATGTCCTCTCACGGGCTGGGCTCCAGCCACTTGATCTGCCTAGTCCACAGAGCTAAGGGCTGGGATTCCAGAACCCCCACCCCGGTCAATGCAGGTGGCACTCTTTCAGGCGTGGTCAGACAGGTGCACCACTGTGCCAGCTGCAAATTCCAGCTCCCTGCTTATTGAAGGGGTGGCTGGTCCTGATTGTGGCTTTGGCTTCTGGCAAAGCCTTAGAGAGGAAATGTCCACTCACATGCCAGAGGAGCAGGCAGGCCCCAACTGCCTCAGCAACCAGCAGGGTTGGGGTAAGGAGGCCCAAACTCCTAAATAGGTTCCCCCAAAGGAAAGCCCACGTGTCCTCCCAGGATGTTCTGCCAAAGCAGACCAAATAGGGTAGAAAACAGAATCGTCTCCTCTGGCGTTTGTTACCCCAGCCCAGGGAAAGAGCAGGGGTGGGGGGGGGACATTTCGTGTGTGCCCATGATCCCTGATCTCGTGCCATCTTCCCCCGTAAATCTCCTTGGACACACGCTCTGTGCCCGGCTCCTGCTTGGCCCTTGGAAGGAGAACAGGATGAGCCGGTTGTGGGCAGCTCACCCCCAAATCCCCAGGACCATCTCAGAAGGCCAAAACCCAGAGGAAGATGCTCAGGTTAGGGTACTTCCTGGCGCAAGTCAGGAGACCCTTGCTGGAGGGTAAGGAGTATGTCCCACTCGCAGGCCTGGTGAGCAAGGTGTGGGCAGGAGTGTTTCCTGTTTCGAGCACAGAATGTCCACATGGACTTGACCAGGGCAGGGCCCATGGGGGCACAGGGGGAGGGCAGAGCCTTTGGAAGGATTCTTTCCTCCTAAGGACTGTGAATGGGTAGGTGGGCACACCTTCCATTGGCTCTCCTGGTGAGCACAGAGAAGTAGGCACCGAATGGGAGCCAGCGGGACCTCGTCTTCAACTGTACTTCCCATGTGGGTGAGGGCAGAGGTCGTTTTTCAGCACGGGCCCTCTCCTGCCTGCTCCCTGAACTGCCTCCTCACAGAGCCCACCCAGGCACCCTCCAGCTGCGCACCCACAGTCGGGAGCCCATAAGCAGGTTCTGGAGGGGGTGTGGTCCGTTCACTGTTAACACTGTTCTCTCTTGCTTTTCAGGGATAAAGTTCAACCTCAGGCCACAAGAGCCGCACAATGTGAGTTCTGAGAATCAGATAAATCACAGCAGGGCAGCCAGGGGAAAGCTGGGGAGGGCAGGGGAGAAAATCCCCAGCTCACCGCCAAGTCATTCTTGGAAAGAGAAATGTGTCCAGTCCTTCTCAGGCGCCTTGGGAACAAGGCCCAGCCTGCAGCCCCATGAATTTCCCTATCCCAAAGGATGTTGGCTTTGGAGGGTGCGAACAGAGGCGGTGTCTGTGAGGCCAACTCCTCAGGCCCCAGCTCAGGCCGAGTTCCTGGGAGGCCGGCGCCATCTTGTGGCGGACATGCCACGTGGGCCTCGGGCGCTGCCCTCCTGGCAAAGCCCTGGCAGGTGGCTGCAGCGCTGACGCCTAGGCCAGAGGAGTCACCTCCTTCCGGGTCTACCTGTCTCCCTCCTCCTGAATCCCAGAATCCCTGGATCCCAGAGAGTGCAGGGGACCGACCGTGGGAGGGCCTGGCCCGTGGGACCCTCAGTGCCCAACTTCTGTCCACCCTGGTAACCATTTCTCATTTCCCCCCAGCGCCTCCCAGCAGGCAGCTCCCAGCATGGCGACTTGAAGGCACCCACGGAGAGGATCACTCCAGACTTGTCCAGCCGGTCCCCCCGGGGCCTCGACCTGCGGGTGCCTGACCGGCCACCAGCCCACGTCCCCAAAGGGGCGCCCCTGCGATCCCGGCAGCGCCGCCGGCGGCTGCTTATCAAGAAAATGCCCGCAGCAGCCATCGCAGTCAACGGCTCGGCGCGCACCTTTGTGCGCCCGGGCCCCTGGGCCCTGGACGGCCGCTGGGCCGGGCTGCACCAGAGCCAGCAGGAGCGCAAGCGGCTGATGCGGGAGGCCTGTGCCAAGTACCGCGCGAGCAGCAGCCGCAGGGCCGTCACGCCCCGCCACGTGTCGCGCATCTTCGTGGAGGACCGGCACCGCGTGCTCTACTGCGAGGTGCCCAAGGCGGGCTGCTCCAACTGGAAGCGGGTGCTCATGGTGCTGGCCGGGCTGGCCTCGTCCACCGCCGACATCCAGCACAACACCGTGCACTACGGCAGCGCGCTCAAGCGGCTGGACACCTTCGACCGCCAGGGCATCCTGCACCGGCTCAGCACCTACACCAAGATGCTGTTCGTGCGCGAGCCCTTCGAGAGGCTGGTGTCCGCCTTCCGCGACAAGTTCGAGCACCCCAATAGCTACTACCACCCGGTGTTCGGCAAGGCCATCCTGGCCCGGTACCGGGCCAACGCCTCTCGGGAGGCGCTGCGGACGGGCTCGGGCGTGCGGTTCCCCGAGTTCGTCCAGTACCTGCTGGACGTGCACCGGCCCGTGGGCATGGACATCCACTGGGACCACGTCAGTCGGCTCTGCAGCCCCTGCCTCATCGACTATGACTTTGTGGGCAAGTTTGAGAGCATGGAGGACGATGCCAACTTCTTCCTGAGCCTCATCCACGCGCCGCGGAACCTGACCTTCCCGCGCTTCAAGGACCGGCACTCGCAGGAGGCGCGCACCACGGCGCGCATCACGCACCAGTACTTCGCCCAGCTCTCCGCCCTGCAGCGGCAGCGCGCCTACGACTTCTACTACATGGACTACTTGATGTTCAACTACTCCAAGCCCTTTGCAGATCTGTACTGAGGGGGCAGGGGTCAGCTGGGGGGCGTCGCGCTCTCCCCGGCTTCTCACCCGGAGCAGCGCGCACTGAGAGCGGGAGGAACCATGGCTGCTGGTGGCGCACAGCCAGGTGGGGGACAGAGGCCCGGGCCCCGGATGGGGATGCTTGTCCCTGGTCCCCGACGCCGCTCCTGGCTCTTTGACTGAGGAAGACGCTGGGGGTGAGGCCGATACCCCAGGAGCCCCAGCTGCCCACACCCAGCTCAGCCAAAAGTCAGGGTGACCAGGGACAGCTGAGGCCCAGTGGGCAGGGATTGCCTGCAGTCCCGCAGCCATTGCCTTGGACCAAACCACATGGTTTGCAGCTTTTCTACGACCCCTGGGGGAGGCACCCTGGGAACGGGTTCCAAATAAAGCACATGGTTTCCAGAGCAGCAGTGTCTACGCCATGCTGGTGCGGGAACACTTTCCGGGATATGTGGGGCTCCTCCCTGCTCTCCTAAGCCACGCAGGCCCCATTGCTGGAGGCCTGGGTGGGACTGGCCTGGGTATGAGGGAGCAGAAGACCTGGCAGCTCCCATGGGGAGCCAGCTGCAGCCCCCAGAACTCGGGCAGCAGAAGCCGGGTCTCCATCAACTGGTGCATTCCAAGGAAAGGTGGACTTACCTACCCATTGGGGTCCCTTCTTGTCAGGATACTTTGTGGGGCTCCTAGAGAATGCTAGAACAGTGATAGCTCTCTGGGCAAGCTGCCCAGGGGTCCCTGAGGCACTGTACCTGGGTCTTGGTGGGGGCGATGTTTCTGGGCTGGAGTGACACCAACTTTTGCTTTCTGAGCCTCTGGGCTAGGCAAGGCTTTGGCCTGAAGGGCTTATTTGCAGATCCTGACCCTGGCTTGACCCTGACCTTGACTCCTGGCTCCATTTGCATAAGACCACTCAACTGTCAGCATTGCCCAGCCCCTCCAAACTGGGGTGGGGGAACTGGAGAGGAAACTTCTCCCAAGGGCAGACATTTTCACACACACACACACACACACACACACACACACAAAATGGTTCTGAAATGGCAAAATCAAGGCAGGGCGATTCTTGAAAAATCTGAGAACGTGTTTGTTGGAGCTGCAGGTGTGGGCGTGACTGGGCTGTTGGGGTCTTGTGTGTATTGGGACGTGCTTGCCTGTTTGTAGGGACCCATCTGCTGACGGCTTTGGGTCTGTGTCTGCTAGGAGCCCAGTGAGCCCCCTGATCCCCCTGTGGAATCTTCCAGGAGCTTGTCCTCAGTCATCCCACTTGCTAGAGACACGCTGCCAAGCCCCGAGGAGAGACCCCACTGGCCTCCAAGGTGGTCACTTGGAGGGATCCCAAGGAGGTGCTGCTGTTCCCAGCCAGGCTCGCTCCTCTCTTTCTGCCTCCACTGCAGAGTCTAGAAACTTATAAAGGTGGAACGAGACAGTGGGGCAGCCCCCTGCCTGCTTGGCCACAGGCATGCACCTCACCTGAGCAGGTGAGGCCTTCCCTGGGGTTCCAGCTGAGAGGCCTGGACAGTCTGACAGAAGGAACCGGAGGGGTGGGGGGAGGCAGTGGTCAGGCGGGCCCGCGGGTGTGGAAGGCGAGAAGGCAGATGCAAGCCCACCCACACCTGGCGAGTGTTGGGGGTGGGGCTGGCTAATGATGCTGAAAACAGCTGCCCCTGGGTCTCATGGGTGAGGGCGTGCCCAGCAGGAAGTGTCTGTGCGGAGGCATCTGGTGAAGCCACAGGCCGCGTCCCCACCGTCTGCTCAGCAAGGGGGAGACACTTGGAGGCCCAGCTGAGGCTGCTTGCAGGGTGCCTTCACCCACTGGAGGACCCAAGTAGAGGTAGGGGACCTGATACGACTCCAGGAGCCAAGCAGGCCCATCAAGTTGGGGGAATAACCACCAGACCCCCACAGCCTTCCCCTTTTCATCCCACAAATGGGGGTATTATCTCCAGGCGTCTGCAATTGCGCCTCCTCCAGGCTCTGCCCTCAGGGTGACTGAGACCTCCCAGGCAGGACCTGGCTCTCTGAGTGGTGAGGAGAGCAGACATTCCCCCAGCCCAGAGTCCTCCCTGCGGCTGTGAGCATGAGGCCTGGAGGCCCTGGGGCGCGGAGGCGTGCAACCAGCCAGGTGCTGGGTGTGCGATTCACACACCGGTGGCCTCTGAGAGCTGGCAAATGCCCCTCAGGCCTGGCCACTGTCCCCACAGCCTGGCCACCCACCCAGGGACCCAGGAAAGAGGTGGGCAGCCAGTGGAGGGAGGGGCAGCTCCCCAGCAACCCCCTCCCCACCTGCCTGTGCCCCTCGAGTGACCCCAGGAGAGCCCTGAGCTCCGGGGTGTTCTCGCCACCCTCCCAACCTCCTCATCGCCCTTTCCTCTCTGGGGTGCACCCAAGACAAAGAAAGGAATTTCCTCCCAGCCTCTCCCCTCACATCACCCAAATTTGGTGGGACCCAGAGCTGGGCACAAGGGCCTCAGTGCTGACCCAGGGGCCCAGGGATGGACAGGGCGGTGGCCAGTTGCAGGAAGCTGTGTTCTGGGGCTGAGCAGGGCTAATGGCCCCGTGCTGGTGGGGCAGTGGCCCTGTGTGAGGAATAAGCAGGTGTCCTGGGGTGGGGGTACAGCACCCTCAGGGGGAGGCTGGGGAGGGCAAAAGGAGCCCTGAGTTCTGGCCCCTCCCTGGCAGGCCTGACGGTGAAGCCTGTACCCCTTCCCTGCACCTTCTCCCCAATTCTTCCCGCTGCCCAGAAAGGCTGCTTGTAGGAGTCCCAGAGGTGCGATGGCACGCAAAGCGGCCAGGGGTCTGGGCTGGCTGAGGCCATCCGGAAACAGATGCTCTGTCACCTCTGGAGTCGGCTGGAGGGTTGCTCCCAAGAGCACTTGAAGCCAGGGGTCAGAGGCCAGTCATTCCAAACCTGGGGCTTGGGGTGTGCAAGCCACCCTAAGGTGGTGCCCTGCGGACCTCTCCCTCTACACGGTCTCCCAGCAGCCCTGATCATGCCGTTCTTACCCTGCTGTGCGGGCGAGGACACAGAGGCACAGAGGGGCTTGTCCAGAGCCACACAGCGGCAGGATCTGGAGCTGGGGTCCCACCCAGGCCATTGGGCTAAGAGCCCGCTCTTAGACCTAGCAGCCCAGGCGTCTGTGCGGGTCCACTGAGGGCGCGGAGGGTGGCCTGCGTCCCCTGGCAGAGACAGCACTTGGCCACCAGGGGGAGCTACGTCTTCGCTCCTGAGCAGAGGCCTGGGCATCCCCGGCCTGCCCACTAGGTGGCAGCAAAACCCCGACTTCAGCTCCAGGCTGGTGGATCATTTCTTCCCCCCACCCCCACCCCACCCCCAGGCCCATAAGAGACTGAGGTCACCTTCCCACTCCAGTTGGCGGGGTCTTCTGCCCTCTCTCCCTCGCAGCCATGGGGTCTGCAGGGCCGAATGCTGTCTCACAAGAAATCCCCGAGTTCACGCTTGAATCCCTGAGCTCCAGAGAACCCCCTGCTCTAACACCAAACCCCCACACAGACTGAGCAACACTCACTTCTCACCTGGGTCTCACGGAGCCCAGGAATCCTTCGGAATCCTTCACCGGCAGAGGGTTTCTGTCTGGAGTTCAGAAGGTCCAGCGTCTGCAGGAGTGTCTGGGGAACTTCCATCACCTCTGCTGGCTCCATCTACTCCCCTTTCTGGCAAGCTTAGACTTGGGGTGCATCCTGGCATGCTCTACAGCTTGGTGCATTGCTCCTTCCATCCGCTGGCAAAGCCCCTTCCAGCCTGCCCTGTGGCTGCAGGGAAAGGCCCACTCTGGTCTCCTCACCCTCATGAGCATAAACCACGCAGGGGGCACCTCACAGGAACCTGGTTCTCCCCGATGCTGACATCAGGTGTGTCTGTACCCACAAACTCGCACACACTCACCTCACAAGTGCACATGCACACACACCAGGGAACCCACACCAGTGCACATGCACACAACCCAGGCGCACTTGACCACAGACACACACACACACACACACACACACACACACAGAGCTGGTGGGTGCCTCTTGCTGCAGTGAGTCATGGGAAGGGCTAGGAAGCTTCTGGCTGACTTGAACTGCACGCTTCTCTGCATGAACCCGTGCTCCCCATCTCTCCTCCCTGTCCTTTCAGAGGTCACCCTTCCGCTCACCACTGGGTCCCCCGCTTTTTGTTACCTCTTCCCATCGATGAACTGTCTTCAAAGATTTGTTTATGTGTAAATATTTATCTATGCATACAAGAACTGGGGTACAGGCCAGATGCGCAGGAGGGTGAGAGGATCACCAGAGACAGAGTGGGGAACGGGACAGGCAGACTGACGAAATACACTGCTGAGGGGAGCAGCGGGTGAGTCAGGAGAGGTCTGCTGGGCCATGTGGGTAGCTCCCTGGCCGGGGATCTAACTCCCGCTGCAGAGGCTGCAGATAGCTTCATAGTGCTGTGCTTAACCCCTAGCGCCACCAGGGAGGCCCCTCTTCAAACATTTAAAAAAAAAAAAAAAAGCCTGAGCCCACAGCCCCTCTGGTCCTGCCCCACTTCTGTCCTCTCCTTCCCAGCAAAATGAATCCCACCACCGCTGCCTCCACCCACCTCATACTCTTGACCCCACAAGGGCTGCCTCGAAGCCCCGCCACCCACCAGCACATCTCTCTGCAGCATCCACTGACTCCACAGACGCTCCCGTCTGCGCACAGGGCTCAGTCAGTCTCATGAAGCCACAGCCCCTCGTCCAGCCCCGACCTCATCCGCCACAGCCTGGCCCCAAGCTGCGGGCCACAAGTCCCAACTGAGCCCCATGTTTCCCCTATATCTCTTCCCCCTTTCGCATGTGTGGTTCTCTCGGCTCTTGGGTGCACCGATGCCATATGCTTCTCACCCTCCTCATGCCTCCATCTTGGCCCAAGCCTCTGTCCCGTCCCACTGGGGCAGCCAGAGTGAGCGGGGGCCTTTACTGCCTTACCCGGACTCTCAGCAGCTCGTGTATATTGGCTCATGTCATCCTCACCTCCCTACTTTTTACAGAGGAGGAAACTGAGGCACAGAGAGGCTCAGCCATGTGCCCCAGCTCACAGCTGTGAAGAGGATGTGGCAGGATCCAGCCCCTGCGACGTGGCCCACTGCCTGCCAGGTACCTTCCTGCTGCTGGTGAAGCCGGGGCGGGGGTGGCCCCCGAGCCAGCTCCCCTGGGGCCTGCGTGGTTGAAGGGGGAAGGGACAGAGAAACAGTGGCCCAGGGTCCAGGGCAAGCAGGGGGACAGGAAGGTCCAAGAGGTAGAGGGGAGTTGTGGGGGGTGCTGTGGAGGAAGTGGGGGCGTGAAATCCGTGACCTGGAGATGGTGTGGTCGCCCGCGGTGACAAGGCCAGACTGGCGGCCAGGATGAGCGGAGGCAGGG